TGCCTTCTCCAGTATTTGAACCGGAGTAGCAGTAGGTTCCCCTAACCACTATACTGTCTGGGTGGCAAAGATAGAATTAGTTTCCTTTAGTTAAAAAGATTATTAGAAAATAAGATGCTTGCTTGCAATGTTATATTGCTAAATATATATATCTTAATAGACATAACCATTATTGACAAACCAATCTATAATGTAATTTCCTATCTGACAATTTTTAGCAACAATACATTTTTATTCTTTTTCTTTTCCCTTCCTTTCTTTCTTTCTTTCTTTCACTGTTTCAAAATTTAAATACAAAAAGAAAGTATGAAGAACAAAATGTCATTTTAATCATGGATATTTACAAGGGATAATGTTTAATATTTATAAGAACTGTTCAAACAAACTAGCACTAACAGCAATACATGCATTACACTGGCATATACTTTGAAAGACAGAAGTTATGTACACTGCAAAAAAAAAAAAAAGGGGGGGGGACAGTCTATATCTCCCGTTCTACTGGGCCAATTCAAGAAATTCAAATTGCGTTCTTCATGTTTCGAAAGCGCGACTTAGGATATATATTAGATTTATATATAGCACTATTCTAACATAGGTATTTTGACACAAAATCGGACTTTTTCTGAAATAACATACCAATTTTTTTACATATTTCGATTCTACGACTCAAATTATGCCCAAATATTAAATTTTGTAAAATTTGGTGCGAAATTTACGGAGAAATTCAACAATTTATGTTGGCGCTTTTTATTCAGTTTGCGTACAAAATTAGTTCACTTGGCAAACTTCTTAATACTATGTGGCAACCTATTTGCATTTCCATTTTTACATAGTGCGTGAGAGGAAAAAAAGTACTCAATTGTTCCTTCTTTCCTTTCAAATAATGTTCTTTATATTATATTTTTAATTATAACTTATTATTTAAGCAATTTTTTTCTTTTTCGAATTATTTTAATTGTTTAAGTTGCATAGTTTTCTTTCGAATAACTGTTTTAAAAAAATTTCTTTTATTTACTATTCAAACTGCGTAGTTTAAATCAAAGCGCATCGTTTATTTTTTTTTTCAAATAGTTTTCTTTATACTATATTTTTAGTCATAGTTACTTATTTTAGGTAATTTTTAAATTTTTATACTTTTATTTTAATTGTTTGTGTTGCATTGTCTCTCTCAGATAAATTATTTAAAATTTTCTATTTATTCCTTCGAACTGAGCATTTAAATATATTAATATTTTCCAGAATTTGATTTTATTTTTTGAACTTTGTAACCCAGACTACGATGCGTTTGAAAACTGCATATATTAAAAGAGAAAATACAGTAAAGCACAGTTAACACGCCTTTCAATGTTCCGTTCAGAAAAGATATATATAAATAAGAGATGTATAACGACATTTTAACTTAGGATGACTTGCATACACTGCTTTAAACAGTTTTATCATTGTGCCCATTGCTTTACACAATTTTATCCTACATTTGGTTTCTTAAAATGTTATTCATATTTCAGTCAAATATTTTATTTTTGAAATCGCAAGAATCAAATATGATAAAATTAAAAAGTTTTGAATTAAAAAAAGGTACAAATACTAAATTTTACGGGAAATTTAATTTTTTCTTCTCTTTTTCTTCAGGCATTCTGCTTCATTCTTACTCTTTTTTTTTTTTTTAGGCATTCAGCAAGTATATTAAAAAGCATCCAACTTTTCGAAACATCTTGGTATTTCTGACAATCATTTTAAATAAAGTTATCGCATTCCATTTCATAAAGGCCCACAAACAGCCGAGCGGTAAAGTTGCTGAACACTGGTAGTTGATTCCGGGGTTTGAATCTCGGTAAACGGGCTGGTTGCATGGGCATTTTTGTGGATTTTCTCATATGTAACGTGTATGCCAGCTGGTTTTCCTTAGAAATTTGTTCACGAACGTATCCTTCCTTTTAGGCAGATAGCCCTGCTTTGCCGTAACTTAATAATCCAATTCAATCCATTTCATCAGAGCCTTTATCAGTCTTTAGAGGCTAAGCATTTTGAAGGTATGAGATGAAAGGAAAGACTGGTTTCATCAAGAGGTTTTGGTTTATTTAATTATGACAAAGCACACTAGGGCTATCTGCCTAAGGGAAGGGATGCCTTCGTGGAGGACTTTCTAAGGGAAACTGGCTCGTATACACGTTACACATGGGGAAAACCACGAAAACGCCCATGCAGCCAGCCCGTTCGCAGGATTCGAACCTCGGACCGAAATACCAGTGTTCAGCGACTTTACCGCTCGGCCGCTGTTTCATCAGGAGGGAAAAAAAAAACGTCTTTAGTTGACATCCACATACATCACTGGATAAACTCCTGAATCTTCAAATAATTCGACTGAGAAATCATGGGATTCTCCGTTTATGATACGATATGATGTTCTATAACGTAATTAAAATTTATACAACCATATAGTCTAAAACCAGTCGCTCTTCACTTTAATCTGCAATGATATCGTTTTTGTCTTTTCTGTTAACACAAGCTCAATTGATGGTATTTGCTGGTGTACACGTCCAAGTGTTTTCTCTTTGAACACCTAAATTCTTTGAAGTATCCTGAAAGTATATTCAAAAGCGTCCAACTTTTTAAACATCTTGGTATGTCTGACAGCCAAATTTCCCTGCAAATTTTTGCTTACTTTTCTCCCTAATTTTCTTCTTCTTTCCTTCTACAGTTATTTTCAGTGCTCACACAAGAAAATTAAGATTTTTCGATTGCTAGACTTCCATAAATTTTGCATTCTTGTCAATTTTTTAAAATATCAATTACATGAATTGCGTTTCAGCTGAAGACAGCTTTTCATTTTCTAGTCATTTTAACTATAAATAAAAAAAAAGCGAAGTCCAAAGGATAAATATTTTAATTAAAAGATTTTTGCTAAATGACAAAGAAATAAAACAGTCCAGCAGGGTTTATTCTGTACCACCGAGTGACCCGATTCTTATATCGGCTGAAACAATCTAAATCATATTAAAGATCATGAATTGCGTTTAAGCTGAGACAGCTTTTCATTTTCTAAGTCATTTTAATTAAAATAAAGTTTAAAGCGAATCTATACTAATGACAAAGAAAAAAAAAAAACAGTCTATGTATAAATTCTGTACGACCGAGTGACCCATTCTTATATCGGCTTCTAAATCATATAAAGATAATGCTTTTTATACAATTTAACGCGAGAAAATTACTTCTTAATTCTTTCTAAGAGGATTAATAGAAAAATTTATATATATATATATATATATTTTTAAAGCTGGGACTTGAACCAAACTGTCAAACTTTTAAAGTTTAATTTACATGGTGGTTATAATTAAAGTTCCACTTTGAAATGGTCATAAAAGGAAAACTACCAGACCAAATGTTATCAAACACTGGGAATCGTGTAAAGGAGGTTATGGAATTTATTTTCCGCGGAAAAAAAAGAGTAAAAAAAAAAACTCACCACCAGGGAAAAAATGGCGCTGTATGCAATATTGTTAAATGAAATAAGACATGAAAACATCTGTTTAAAATGTGTTTAATCGTTTCCGAAACGTGTTACAAAGCATGTTCAATGTAGCGTCCAGCATTTTCCGAAAGCAAGTTAAATCCTGTTACTGCATTCTCAACAGCAGCTCTTAGCATATCAGGAGGAATGTTACGGACATGTCAGTGTATCACATTTTTCATTTCTGCCAAATTGTTTAGATTATCACCATAAACAGTGCTTTTGAGATAACCCCATAGCCAAAAGTCACAGAGGTTGAGGTCTGGTGGGAAGAGGGAAGTGTTGGCCTATAAGACGTTCATTCGTGAAATGTTGCCTAAGTAACTGTGCGACACACGTGAGGTGGGGCCCAGCCCTGCATAAAAATCGTAGTATCTAAAATGCCACGTTACTGCAGTTCATGTATCACGAAACATTTTAACATTGACTCTAAGTGAGCTGCAATCACAGTGGTCCAGCTGTCGACTGCTCTTCAGAGAAAAATGGTTCAATTATAAAACTAGCTGTCATTCCACACTAAACGGTGTGGAATGACTGCTATGCAATCGAATGCAGTAGGAGAATGCAATGGAACTGGACAGATAACATGAGGGATTTCTTTGGCCCAAATCGATTAAAAGCGTTTTGAATCAGTATCTTCATGTTTTAGGGCCGAATTCAGGCTTCAAAAATTACAAATTAGCGATCTGTAAGAAAACGATTTCCAGATTGTACGCACTTGTGCGAGTGATTTGCGATCTCACATTTTCTAATCGCTAATTCGTGGTTTTCACGGACGAAATTTCTCACTTACACGGATGGCGCACTCGACTTTATCGAATTTAACGCCTTTAAATGGTAATTTGCCTACTTCAAAGTTTCTTAAGGGTATACAACATATTAAACCAGTGTAACAAAAGGTTAAGTTAGATTCCGACCCATATTTTGTTTTAACAATATTGCATACAGCGCCGTTTCTCCCTGGTGGTGAAATTTCGAACTTTCTTTTTTTCGTGGCAAATAAGTTCTCATGACCTCCTTTACACGGTTACCAAGCTTGATAACTTTTGATCCAGTAGTTTTCCTTTTTATGACCGTTTCAAAGTGAACTTTAATTATAACCACCCTGTGTATTATTGAATTTTAATTTGAAGCTATGTGTTATACGTATACCATGCGTATAACACATAGCTTTTATGGAAAAACTAAAGAATCGAAGCAAATATACTTAGGGTAATGGACCAAAACTGAAAACATTTCCCCTCCCTCCGAAAATAAAATATTGAAACTTCGACCTTGAATTTAATGGATTATCCGAAATATTCAATTTGACTTATCTTCTAAGTCCTAGTTCCGACAATAATTACGAATTACTGAAGTAAATGTTTAGTATATATTCACTGTATGTTAATAAAGTAATCAGAGAATTTACGCTGATCCAACTTTTTGTCTGAATGCACAAAATGTAATGGAAGAGAAGGCTTGTAGAGATCTGTTTTTGACTTACCTCTAAAAGTAGATGTCATACTCCTTTTGTCCTTTCAATGTCAAAAAACTTTCCTTTGAGGGGCAACTTTAGTTTTTGGGAAAGAAAAAAAAATCACAAGAAGACAAATTTGAAGAACATGCAGGATGATCAAGTACACATATTTATTTTTGGAATACAAGCGGTTCTCCGATTGGTTATTGAATAATGAAAAGATGCATTGTCATGCAATACAAAACATTTGGAATACGTTTTCTGACTGAATAACGTAAGATTAAAAGTCATCTGCTTAATTCACAGCCATTTACAAGTCAACTACTCGGGCAATTGCAGAATCGTTTTGATCCTGAGCTTGTAAGACAAACCTAATATCACTGGATTTAAACACTTCTTTAATCTTCCGAGAACATTCCTTCTTTAGCTCATATTCCAAGAATATTAAGTGAATACAATTATTGCAAAAGAAATTGAATATTCATTTGCACTACACTACGGCTTGGTAGTTTACTAACGAGTTAACAAAACTTAAATTCTGCTTTTTGTGTCTAAGAATACAACAATTTTTAAAATATTTACAAATAAAATATTAAATTGGAGATTTAATTGGAGCCTCACCAGTTGCCTAGCATTTGAAGATTGTTAAAGACTAATTGTTTGTTGCGAAGTCTAACCCAGGCTGCATGGTTGGTTTTCGTAGTTTTCTAGGTTCTCTTTACAAAGGTTCTCTATGAAGGCATCTTAACCAAATAGCTCCCATGTTCTTTCTATGTTCAAATAACCAACTAACCTAGTTTTGGTTTCAAAATTTCATCTTTTGTTATTTTTAGCTTTTTGAGTGATTATTTCTCGCCAAGGTGATTTAGTGTCGCCAATGAAGCTAAAATGGCAAACCTATACATCATTACTGTAACAATCTTATTCAATATTTTGAAGGTATTCTAATGAAAGTGCTTAAAAGTTTTTAATTATTTCTTGTGAGATTTAATTAAGTCTATTCACTAAAGTTTTAAAATTTGACTTAGTTTTAAATTCTTTGGATTATATGCTATTGTTTAAAGGTAAAATTTTGATCTGAATTTTTCACTCAAATATTTTATTTCACTTTCCGTTTCAATTCTTTAACACTAGATGCGCTGAGCTTTCGCTCTACCTTAGAAACACCAATGGCAGTCAAATTGACTGCTCAGGTAATTAAATGTATATATCAAAATGCAAATGCTTTATAATGCTTTTAGAATATTAATTATAGTTGAGAACTACAGATTATTTTTATAAAATAGATATTTTATTATAAATTTCAATGTACCCTTAATAAAATGCATTTTGTACCTCTTCACAATTTTTACACAACACAACGTTTTCACTACTGGAAGTGCATTTTTCATATACATAATATAAAATTTTTTTACACACATCACTGGTTTTTGTTTTTGTTACAAAGTGCAATCTGGCACCGATGTCTTTTCTTTGAGAGTCTATTACTAGTGTTGGAAATTTCCAAGGGCAATCCTGTGCTTTTCTTCTGTTTAAATAAAGCTCTCTTAATTTCTCTACTAATTGAAATAGGAAACTGTGATACTTTTATAACTCCATTTATCGTCGATAGTGTAAGCATTCGTTCCTGTTAAATCCAACATGTCAGAAAACATGCATAGGGCAAAATTTTCGGTGCACAAAACTGAAAGTTTAATTTTGGTTCCGCTCAGCAAAAAGACACTGAAGTTTGTGCACAAATGAACTTAATTCACTATTTTACAAGAGCTTTAAATGTAAACAAACAGCAGCTTCATTAGGCTTACATCACTTAAGCACCTTTTAAACTCCATTAAAGGAAAATATTCTATCACTGATAATCACCATCTAATAAAAGTTTTAGAGTGAAGAGACAAAGAATTTCACAATTTTATACTTGCAGAAGAACAAAATGCTGAATACTTTTACAGACGAATTTAAAGAGCATTAAAACATCATTTTTCATTTAAGTAAAATTAAAAGGTCATTTAGAAACAGCATAACTGAATGCACTTTTTATTTTTATTTATTTTTTTAAATACACTTTACAGAACCAGAATTCACTCAGTAGCTAATGCAAAATATTATATATTTATTTTAAAACAAAGAATAAGTTTTATGAAATGTACCTTCTCTTAATTTTTTCCCGCAAATATCAGCAGCTGACATAGCCTCATTTGAATATTTGAATGGCTCAACATCATATTTTTCTCCTTTTAACAGAGCAGCTTTTGCAGCCATAATCTCAAGCAGCATACCTATATAAATAAATAACTTCATGGGGAAAAATCATGCAAAAATATGTTTCTAAATTTTCTTAATTTATTCAGAAGATTTATACATATGCAACGATAAATCTAAGGAAAAGAAATGAATGAGAAAAACTGACAATTATCTTATCCATTAAATACCAAAAACAATGCAGGGAAAAAATACAGTGAACCATTGCAATGATTTAATACTTTCTAATTAGAAAACCCACATGAAAATAAAACTACAAAAAAATCTGAAACCTTTTAGAATTTGTATTATGCCCAAAAGGACGTTTTTTCAGTTTTGTGTGTTACTTTTATTTATTAAATACCATGTTCTTCCCACTTAAACCATTTATAAAATTCAATTCAATACCAGTATCATAAAAAATAATTTAAGAACAGCCTATCTTTAGAATTTCCGATAGACAGTCTCGCGTGTCGGAGATAAAAGTTGGAGATTTTTGCCATTGGTCGTGTTGATACAATTGCGTTTAAAAATAAAAAATTCTTTAAAGTTTTACAACATATGAAATAGACAATAAAACAAATTCTAAATTTGGGCTTCCTGGTGCCCATATTCGGGTGGAGACATACATTATTCAAAATTTGACGGCTCTAGGTACCATAGTTTTTTTCACAAAGTGAGAAACATATATACATTTATGCAGAATCTTCATTATTAATTTTTTTAAAATATAATGCAGGGCTCTAATATTTGGTGGCAACAATATGAAAAATGAAAAGCTGTTTATAGTGCACCAATGCAAAATGCCAAATTGGAATTAATTATCCTTCTCGGCAAACTGTCCATTTAGGCACAAAAAAAAAAAAAAAAAAAAAAAAAGGTTCATATTATGGCTGTAACGATGAAATCCCCTAAGAAATAAACTAATAATTATATTTTGTAGCAATACATTTATGTTGTTAATAATATGCTTACATGCTAAAAACAAAAATAATTAGATTAGTACACTAAGCTTATACCATTAATATTACAGGGCTACAAATTAAAAAAATCTTATGTGTACACAACATGACTTCCTTGTAGGGAATAGAAAATTATATGCATTTTTTACTTGAATTTTATTTAAACTTATTGGATCGAATTAAATTTACTTTGTTGATGGCGCATAAACCGCAACAGAATAAATGGACTCTTTAAAATTCACTACATTTGTTTCCCATAGCAACACTATGGTACTACATTCACTTAACAGCATTACATCTCATTTATTTTATAACTTAGAATAAAATAATAATAATAAAAAAAAATATCCGCTGCAGAATTACCCAATCATTGCCACATCTCTATTCAAATACTATAATAAATCTAAAATGATGTATAAAAGAAAGTAAACAGACAAACAAAAAGAAACAATTTTTCAAAGCCGATTCAGTAATTCTCATTCATTTAATTCAATTCTCACTTCCCAGCAAGGCCAAAATACATAAAAACTCAAAACATCTATATTAAAAATTACGAAGTATATCTCAAACACTTATTTCCTCGAAAAAATTCCAGAAAGAATTAAGCATGATTTAACTTGCAATAATAAATGAATGCATTATCTTTGTTGTTGCGAAGCTAAGTTTCTCTAGATTGGCAACAAATTCACTATTCTGCTAAGTTTCAAATGTAAACAAATATGGCTGCTATGGTAAAAATAAATAGGCTTACCCACACTCAGATAGCTTTTAAATTGTCAATAATTCACAAATATTGCATGCAGATTTACTAAAGGCATAAAAACCTTAACCGGAAAATAAAAACAACATAATTAAATCATTTTTAAAGCAAAAAATGCACAATTTACCAACATATAAGAATTAAAAAAATTGAGCTCATTGAGCTGAGTGGTTATACATGCATTTATACACTTTTGGTGCGGTCGATTGCAATTAAAAAGGGAGGTGCACATATACATGTTATAGCAGTCCTATATATAAACTTTCAACATTCTGAGGGTATTTGTTTTTGAGTTACATGAGCTACATATATACTCCGAAGAAAATCTTTCCTGAATGCATTTTAAATCAGATTTATAATTCATTTGGGGGGGGGGAAAAAAAAAAGAGTCCTTTATTCTGTCCTTACGTACAAATGTCAAGCAAACGCATCGTTAAATTGCATTCGATAGTGGTCAAAATGGATATTTTCGTTGAAATATGATACCCGAAATGTTTTGCATTTACAATACTTGCTTTTTACTTCGTACAAGGAAGTAAAAAGATATGCTTATATCCTTAATAATCCCTTACAGTTTTTTTTGTCTTTCTAATTAATTAATCAATTAATTAATTATTTAATTTTGAACATATGAGAAAAGAAATGCAATGTGATATACAGGTAGCCCTCCTACAACACGGTTTCGCTATAACACGATTTATAAATTGCGAGAACAATCTGTGAATCAATCTGAACAATCAATTTGTTATTGTGCTATTACAGTTTCCTATAACACGGTTTCACTCTTAACACAATAAGAAAATTGCCCAAGCAATCTGAAGGAATTTAACAAACTCTGTACACAGTTTTTACATATTGAGCAAAGCATCCATACTATCATTTAACACGCGAAGACGCATGCTACTTTTAGCTACACGAGGACGTGCCCCGGGCTCCGTAGTGTTTTTCTTAACAAAACAAAAATTAAATTGCTTGTGTAAGTGAAGAAAAACAGAGTGTATAAAATATAGAAATATACTTTTAATTTAATAAGTCTAATAAAATTGCATTTTAAAACAATTTTAAGACTGAAATTATTTATCATTAACAACAAAAATTAAATTGATTTCTTTTTGAGCCCAAATGAAATTTAGTACTAATTTATGCAATATTAAATTTTTACTGCAATAATTTCAAAATACAACTTACATTTCACATTTTTTTTTAAAATAACCGTGCTGTGTTTACCACAAATATTTTTCTCGCACATAGCGCAGCAAATTTGCAATTTTTGGTCCGTTACGCCAAGACTGTAAACGTTTTTGCAATATTCAACGAACTTTTCAAAGGCATATCTTATCGGAGCCATTTTATTTATTTCCCTTCTATAAAAGCGATCTCTTATGTCATCAAATCTCAAACATCTCATTAGAAATAAAAAAAAGTTTGTTAGACATTGTTCGATGAAAAATGTCAAGCACTGTTCCGTCAGTCACCCAAAGGTCGAGAACATTTATGTGAGAAGCCTTGTGGAGTCCTTCAAAATAAAGAAGACAGATAAATGCTCTGATTTCTGTAATATTTGTGGATCGAGCACCTCTCTATCTTTCAAATTTGACGGCGATGGATTCGATATAAATGCTTGCACAATCTACTAGAATTTGTACTATTATTTTATCCATAAGCAGTTGCTAAGAATTCATAGCGGAGGACACAAATTTTGCTTCACAAACATTTCCGAGCAATTTTCTCTTGCAATGTTGTGAGCAAGAGTTCTCACAGCAAGTCTTGGTTCTTTTTTATTCCATTTTGTCACATTATATTTGCCAAGATAACAGTTCGCTGACGGACACACAATTCTGAAGAAGCTAGATTCAAGCGATAAATCATTACTAGATTTATCGCTTGAATCTAGACTCTTCAGAATACGACTGGTGATCACTAAACTGTTCTTCACCAACTATTTCTTCGTTCTCTTCATTAGTTGTATCTTCATCAGTCGACACTTTGGCTAATAGTTTCTGTCGTCTTTTCATTTCATCGTCATAGCTCAAATAGCAAGAGCTTTTTGCAACTGCCTGATCTCTTTCACAATTTTAAATGACAATGCGAGCGCGCCTCAGGCCTGGGAAGCCCGGTTACTCAGTTTCTGAGAAAAGATGAAGGGTTAAATTCCGGAAATGCTTGTGAATGACAAGTACATGACCTTAAACACAGCTACTGAGAAGGTTGAAAAATTTCACCAAAGAGAGAAATTTTTGTATTACATTTTTGTAAAGACCGGGCCTTGCAGGCCGGATGCGCGTTCTCGCGGATTAACACGTTTGAATCCTCGTTTCATAAGTTCTGTCAGTTGTCTTCCAAGAACCGGTGCCATAAAAACAAATGTCCTCAGGGAGATGAGCCACATGAAGGAGAGCGACGATTGAATTCTTAACCAGTAAAATTATTTCCTTCTATGACTTTCAAAGTACAATAGCATAAGAGAAATATTACCCAGTCTCAAGGACGCACAACCTGCACGTTCAGCTTCCAAAATTTGAATCATCATGTTCGTGGTCTGAAAACAAAATGTCTCACGCTGCTGGTTGGCAGTCTGCATCAAGCCACGATGTGTTAAAGAATAACTTTTTCGTCTTTAAGACATTAAGTTTCAGCAGCAAAACATGTCCAATAAAGATTAAAAAAAGAACAACCTTTAAGAGAAAATTTATTTCTTTAGAAGTAAAGATACAAATCTTGGATCTTCTTTTAACATGTTGACTGCCACGGAATTTTTTTGGAAATCAAACGGATTTAATCATATTGTATTATTAAAAATACTAATTACGATTCGTAACAATCATTAAAACGTTTACAGTTTTTTTTTTTTTTTGTAGAATAAAGGATTTTACAGATTATCTTGTAGTCGGCTTTTGTTAGACAAAGCTCTTCGCAGAAGCCCACTACAAGTTGATTCGTACAGATATGGTTCAACTTGTCGCCTTGCTACAGCTAAAACAAGCGCTAAGCGAGTAAGTAATCTAAAGTGGCACAAAAGTGGCAAGAAACTACGAGATAACCCGTATTGGGCATCCTGAAGAAAAGTGCTAATACGAGTTATCTCGTGTTGGGTAGTCAAGGTGCTAAAAAGAAGAAAGACATCTCACATAGGAAAAAGTTTTAATTTGAATGAAGCAATAATCTGGATTATTAAGAAAAATGAAAAAGAAATAAGAAGTGCAGTTGCTGCAGGATCTTCGACACCCGCAAAACGTGCAGCTCACCCCCCGGGAGCCAATATTTCAGAAGATGGAAAAGGCACTCAGCATCTGGATTGATGATAGCTGTCAAAAAAGATTTCCGTTGGATGATAATATCATTAAACAAAAGCACTCAAAATTTTCAAGCACCTTAAAGAACATGCTGAATCCTCTTTCAACCCAGATTCTGGGGCAAGTAAAAGCTGGTCTGAAAATTTCAAAAAGCGTTTTGCAATTAGCATAAGAATTCAAGGAGAATCTGCATTGGATGATTATGAAGCTATTAGGACATATCCTGAAAATATTTTAGAAGAACGAGGATACACAGCAGATCAAGTTTTCAATGCCGATGAAACGGGATGTTTGGTGGAAAAAAATGTCTAGTAGAACCTTCATAGCGATACAAGAAAAATCTGCATCCGGATTTCAGGTGTCTAAAAATTGTCTAACGCTAATTTTGTGGAGTAATGAGTTTGGGGGGGGGACTTTATTACAAAAGCATTGTTAATTTGTAAATCTTTAAATCCTCGTGCAGTTAAAGGCGTAAATAAAAAATCTTACTAGTATATTGGAAAGTAAATCCAAGAGCTTGGATAACTGGAAATATATTTTAAGATTGGTTTTAAATTGTTTTGTGCGATACGCTGAACATTATTTAAGGCAGAAAATTTTGAGCTTCAAGGCGCTATTACTATTAGATAATACTCCATGTCACCCACAAGATTTGAATTATCCCAATGCCAAAATATTGTTCCTACCATCTAACACTACTTCGACCATTGGATCAAGGTATTATTTGCACCTTTAAAACATATTGCATAAGAAGAGCATTACAAAGGATTTTAGACATAACCGATTCAAAATCAATTAATGTACTGGAAGCTTGGAAGACGTTTTTAATCAAGCACTGTATTGATATCATATCTTTGTTTCTGAAAGAAATGAAAGCATCAACATTAAATGCATGTTAGAAGAAGACATGGCCCTCTTCAGGTTGTAAGGATCTTAAGTTTTACTAACGTTTATTTTATGTAAATCTTTACTATCACTTCTTATTTTCTACTTCCGGCCAGAATTAAAAGCTTTTAACTTATTTATGCAAATTTGTCTTGCTAACGCCAAGTACTTAAGTTGTGGCTTTTTGCCAAGCAAGAGAGAGGAAGGAGTTATTAGAAGCAGGCCGCTTGCCATAGTAGTTTTAGTCGGTTGCTGGTTGCCTTCAAGGCCAGAGGTTTAATCCTCGTGATAATTTTAAACGTATCGTAGTGTTAGCAGTTCTCTGTACTACATACGGCTTTTTGTTAATATACGGCCAATCTTGGAGTTAGGCACTTGTTTATTAATCCAAAGTTAGTTTAGTTAGTGTTTAGTTAATATTTTTATATTCTTACGTTCAGACCACAAGTGGTTAGTCTCTGTATTCCGAAGTTCTGGAAATCATTGTAAAGATAGAAAAAATAAAGGCTTTCATATACCCTTCCTATGTGTATTGTCTACTTCACAATTTATTGAACATAGCTTGAGTAAGCTGCCTGTTCTGAGTCAGGACAGTTAATGTTTCCAAAGCAAGTAAGGAGGAACACAGAACCTGATAAGGTTAAATAGAAAATGTGTGTGAATCGTCAGAAAATGAAATTGGCAGCATAGAAATCGCTACATCTATCAGAGGCGAAGGTTTTGTGGATATGGTTATTGAGAATGTTCAAGATTTATTAGTGGAAGAAGATATTGACAAAGATGATGAAAGATGTTGATGAAAATGGTATCTGAAGCTGTAAATCCAATTGATTCTGAGGACACTAGCACTGATGAAGATTGTGCAGTTAATAATTTAACATTAAAAAAATTAAAAGAAAGCCCAAGTTTAGCTTAAAATCTCGAGTCATTATTCTTGAGTGCAGACTCATCTGCTGAAATAAGCCGAAAATTCAAAAGGAAGCTGCATAACTGTCTAGCTCCATATCGAGAAATTTACAATGACCCGGTAAGAACCAGTAAGCAAAGTAAAATTACAGATTTTTTAAGAGGAAAGAAAATGCCAAAACTTTAAATGAAGAAATAAATTCTGAAAGCGAAAGCGATTTCATTCCACCAAAAAAGCATTCTCGGTTGATCATACTGAGCAATGACGATGAAGAAATTTATTAAACTAAAGTTGCATAAAATTAAAATATGTAACAATTTGTGTTGTACATACATATTTTTAATAAAAATCTACATATTTTTAATAAAAATTAAGTTGTTTATGTAGAATTTAAAAAAATATATTTGTTTTTAATAAGCTTTCGGAGTGTAACCCCCCTTTTTGTACTGTTCTGGGTCTCATAAAACACGGTTTCACACAACATGGCATTTTCTAGGAACCTATTTACCATGTTATATGAGAGTTACCTGTATTTGGAAATATTACGGAACATACCCAATTAATATTTTTCTTAATCATTTTTAGTTAAAAAGAAGGCAAAGCTTCCCTTTTATTCCTGAAAACTTTGATAAATTGTAATAATGCCAGAATTAAAAATAAAATTATACAATCATTAATGACTGAAGAAATTAGCTGATTTTGGAAAAAGCAAAACATATCAGTTAATGTTAAAGATTCAGGTACAAATTTTTTGAAAGATTACCTAGCTACAAATCTGATGAACTCAAAATTAAAATTTTGCCATGATTAGTTAAATCATTAGATGAAAATTCATTACACAAAATCATAAATATTTATTTCAATATTAAAAGAATAAATGGAAACTACTATACTGAATTAAAAAAAGTCCATATTGAGGAACACATATTCTTTTTTTCCTGGAGAATCTATGACCCAATCTTAATGCAAATAAAGCAAAACTTTTTCACATAATAATTGCTGGTACAATTGAATATAGAATACAAATAATCATAATTATTAATAGTATATATATATAATTGGTATGACCTTAAATGCATTTAGTGCGAAAAACAGGTTACTATTAATCAATATTGTTTAGGAAATAAATTATATATATATAATATAATAAAATTATTAATAGTAACAAGAACACATAAAATAGAGGAAACACCATATAATTTACTTAACTTAATAATATATACATATTCAATTGACTTCATTTGTACTATAGATTGCAAACAGTATCACTTAAAGTGGTAGTACAAAAATTCATAGTAAGTCACATATAAGAAATATGAAAAAGTATATCATATTATGTCTCATAAAAAATAAACATACCATGGAACTCAAAATTAGTTACAATTATAACAAACAAATATTTTCTCTTCATTTCTTCAAAAAGTTTTTATCTTTTCACAATCTTCAATTTAGCCAGCATTAAGAAAATTTCATATATGCTTTGGAAAACAGATTTAAATAAAATAAATCTTTGATAATTAACCTCATTCCCGTAATTTTGAAAAAAAAAATCATCATTTATATTTAATCACTAATATGTTGGTATATTAGCTTCCCTAATTTCTAATTTTATGAAAAAAACATAGCCTTTATTTGCAAAATTTAAAAAATAATAATACTAATATGTTGGTTTATTAGTTTCCCTAATTTCTAATTTTTATGAAAAAAACATAGCCTTTATTTGCAAAATTTAAAAAATAATAATAAAAACCTGAGTTACTAGATATTAAGTAATTATTACACATGATAAATCTGGCACAATCTTAAGTAATCAGTATTTCCAATTAAGCACAGGAGTAAGATAATCATAGTAAATACTCTAAATAATAGCTAGACCCTGAACTTTTATTATTAAAACAGATGAAAAAGAAGCCTCACACTAAAACTCAGTACCCACATAATTTTATATTCATAATAGAAAACAACTGATGCTTAATAATATTTTGATCACATTATTTCTTTACAGTATAGAGACAATATATGTTCTCTAGAAAATTTCGGTTCAAATATATCAAATTTCACTTAAAAGTATTTTAAAAAACTCTAACCTATAGTCATTCTATAAGATATGCCATGAGGATTAAAGATAATATCTGGTACAATTCCACTAGCACTAAATGGAAGATCAGCACTAGGAAGCAATGTACCACATATACCCTTTTGTCCATGCCAATTGCTGAATTTATCTCCAACCTCAGGTACCCGCTGAAAATAGAAAAAGAGGTTTGAAATATATAATATCTAATATAGATTCACTTAAATTTAAATGATTTACTATAGATAGCTTAGCATAAAATAATAGTAAACAACGAAATAGATAAATGTTCATTTAAACAACAGACTTTAAAAAGTTTACAGAGATATAACAAACATATGATTTTAATTAATTGTTGTTAAAAGAAAGAAAGTTGTTGTTGTCAACAAATGCTGAGCTATGATGCTACCAGCCCATGGACTATTATAATTTCTGCACAAAATCATTACAATAATTTTAAGAAGCTTACACTCCCTTACCATATTATGCATTGTTTTAAAAAAACGGTAATTATATTTCTTCGTCATGTTCAATCAATTAATTTTTCATTCACATATTAAAAAGCCGTTTGCTTTCTCTTTGAGAGAAAGAACGTTTATAATAAACTACAGTACTCTTCAATGAAAGCAACTGATATTATATGCAGTTCATAATTTACAAACTACATATAATATCAATTGCTTGCATTAAAGAGTACTATAATTTATTATTTACAAACTGCATATAATAACAAGTTATTCAAAATTCAAATAAATTCATACCAGAAATAAAAAATTTACTCTTTGTTCTAATAATTAATTTTTTTAAATATTATTGATCCATACAACAGTACCTGCTGCATGATCTGTTTACTCATCAATGAAAGCATAGAAAATACACATTTACATATATTATCAACTTATTTAAATTTCCAATAAATGCATATGAGAAATAAAAAGTATTCATTGTTCTAATAATTAAAATTTTGTCTATAATATTATTGTTCCATACAACAGTACCTGCTGCATGATCTTTTTAATTAAACTATTAACCCATAATTCATTAAAATTCCTTGACTATGTTCAAGGAAGTTTGATTTTTCATAACCAGATGCAATACTCAATTATGGAAAAACATTACTATAAAATAATTCTTCAAACCTTAGTTCAACTATCCTGGATATCTGGATATCCAGGATAATATTATATCTACAATTAGATATTATAAACTATGAAATAAAATTAAATAAACATCTATAACTCAAAACTATGAAAACAAAGCACTAACAAAACTTCTTTGAATGAAAGAGAAAAAGAGAACTGATCTAGTGAAAAACCAAACAGCTAACTTATAAAATTACCCCTGACCTTCAGAAAATCACTCCAATAATATCTTAGTTGATAAACAAACCTCCCTCCCCCCGCAAGAAAAAAAAAAAAAAAAAAAAACAGAGAAACACAGGAAATGAAACACAGATGTGGATCCACCTTTCTATTGTTAATGAGCTGACTGGAGAGCTGCAGAAAATGTTAGATATTAATTACTTTGCTTGCCGATAGATGGCAGTGCCTGTAACTTGACTAGCTAGACAAGTGCACGGTATTTGTGCTGCGACACACTCTCGTCGCTTGCCGCCAACCATGTAGCATCAATTGCTCACTTATGTATAAAGTAATCTAATTTAATCTTATAAATAAACAGTAATTTATCTATGTTTGACAAGTAAAAATATATAAAATGGTGTCAGAGTAAACCTTGCTTACGAATTTAATGTATAAATTGCTATTTTAAGGATTACGTGCATTTGAAAAACTTGGAATCAAAAATGACGCATAACCTGCCCACGTTGTCACCGTTTGACGCTGGATCGAACCCTTCTGAAACTTGGAGACACTGGAAGGAAGACTTCGAGGACTATATCTAGGCATTAAGATATAGCCAAGTCGGAAAGCACAAAAACTGCGCTTTTTCGACATGTTTGTGGTGACGAATTAAAAAAGCAATATCGATTGTTTGATTTGAAGCCAGAAGCGGGCAGCAGTAAAGTGTCCTTGAAACAAGTGCTACAAGAATTCGACAAATATTTTGCAGATTATCAGAATGAGATTTATGCATCATTCAAGTTTCTCGAAATAAAGCAAGAGAAAGGAGAGAAATTCACGGACTTTTACTCAAGGCTACGATGTGCAATACTAGATTGCAACTATGGGCAAGCGCAAGATAGAATGCTCCATGATAAAATAGTGCAAGGCATCTCAGATAAAGCATTACAAGAACGGCTAATACGAGAGACAAATAGAGCGAAAAAAGATGCTCACAGAATATCATCAGTGAATGCAAGGCAGCGGAACATAGCAAAGCACAAGCCACTGAAATGAAACGAGAACAAAATCTCCGTAGACGGCTCTCAGAAAAAAAAAACATCGAAATCAATCAAATCCCGCACAGATAACGCAAGTAAAAGAGTGCAAGCGATGTGGAAGAGAAAACATGAGCCAAAGAAGTGCGCCATGCGTTCAGAACGGTCTGCCGAAAGTGCGGTGGGAAAAATCACTGGGCGAAAATTGTGTCGCGCCAAAACCAAAACAAGAGAGTGCACGCCGTTGAACGTATGGAAGATAGCGACTCAGAGTTTATTTACCTAGGGGAAGTAAACGAGGCGCGGTTTTGACGCGGTGGATTCAAATAAAGCATCAGTCTGGTACCAAAAGATCACTGTAAATAAGAACGAAGTGAACTTCAAATTAGATACTGGAGCTCAAGTTAACATTATACCCAAGAGTGAATTGTTAAAGTGGAGTGAGAGACCAATAATTAAGAAAAATAAACAACCAGTACTGGATTATAGTGACAACCAAGTACCAATACTAGGTGAGTACTATCTTACATGTAAAACTAAAAAATTGACAAAAACTCAAATTTCTAGTAACCACTCTGGAATCATCTCCTATTTTGGGTCTTCAGGCTTGCCAAGACTTGGGTCTGTTTGAAAAAGTGTTTCATGTCAAGCAGGAAAAGAAACAAAATGAAGAGACACCAGAGCAAGTGATAAAGGAATTTGCAGATGTGTTTACTGGTGTGGGAAAACTAAATCGCACAGTAAAGATAAAAATAAAAGAAAATGTCACACCTCATGTTGCAGCACCACGTAAAGTGCCACTTGCTTTGCATGAAAAAGTAAAGCAGAAGCTAAACAGAATGGTTGAAACTGGCATCATAACGAAAGTTGATGAGCCTACAGAATGGGTGAGCAACATGGTTGTGATAAATACGCCAAAGAAATTGAGAATTTGTTTAGATCCAAGGCAGCTTAGTGAGGCTATTCAAAGACCTCATTTGCCAATCCCTACAGCAGAAGCCCTTATGACAAAACTCCAAGGATGTAAAATATTTACCATTTTGGATGCCAAGAATGGATTTTGGCAACTACCGCTTGATGAGGAGTCATCATACTTGACAACATTTACAATGCCCTTGGGGAAAGATTCAGATTTTTTGTTCTTCCTTTTCATTCTGAACAATGCACCTGAGGAATTTCAAAGGGCCATGGAGGAGATTTTTAGCAATGAGAACGAGATAAATCCATATTTTGATGATTTAGCCCTAGGATCGTCGTCTGTCGAAGAACATTGCAAAGTTGGGTTGACGGACTTATGACACCAGAAATGCTAACTTAGACTTTAACATCGACAAGATGCAGCTATCTCAAACCTCTGTGACTTATTTCGGACTTACTGTCTGATAAAGCATTACCTGATCCAAAGAAGATCAGCAATTGAAAAGTTTGCAGAACCAAAAGACTCACAGTGATATGGGATGAGAACATCCAAAGAACTATAAGCACCTAAAACAAATGATTGTGTAAGTCAATGTTTACAATTTTGAGAAAGCAAACCTTTGTCTCAGTTGATGCCAGTAAATATGGAATTGGAGTGATTCTCATACAAAATAATCAACCTGTGGCTTTTGGATTACCATTATTGAAACCAGCAAAGATGTGCATATTAAAAAAGAGCTCTTAGCAGTTGTATATGGGTTAGAACATTTTAACCACTATACGTACGGAAGACATGTAACAGTGCAGACTGATCACAAACCATTACTAGGCCTTATGATACAATCTTACCTCCTCTTCAGCGCATGCTCCTCAAACTGAACAGGTATTATTTGAAATTGGAATATGTCCCAGGAAAAGAATTGCTAATTGCTAATAGCACAGTCAAGTGTTGACACCTTCAATCAAGAACCTACTGTTAATGTAAGTCTATTAACACAAGCCTCTCCAACAAAATGGCAGGAATTTGTAAAAATGACAGAAAAGGACCCGGAATTGCAAGATGTGTTATTTCATATCAAAACTGGATGGCCAGAAAGAAGCAAAACAAGGCCAGCAGCACAAACTTACTGGCATTGCAAAGAAGAGCTTTATACAACAAAGGATGGACTAATTTGTCAAGGACAACAACTAGTTGTGCCAGATATTATGAAAATATATATATATAGATATATGAAATATACTAGATATTATGAAAAAACTGCATGTGTCTCACAAAGGTACAGTTTCTAGTAAAGCTAGAGAATATTTTTACTGGACGAACATCAACAAAGATGTGGAAGAATATGTTTCTAAATGTGCGATATGTCAGAAATATCAACAGGCTAATCAGAAAGAAGTTCTTTTAGACTGTGATCTACCAGAGAGACCCTGGCAAAAAGTTGCCTGTGATTTCTTTTACCTGAAAGGACAACAATATCTGTTAATGATAGACTACTTTTCAAAATATGTAGAGCTGAAACCACATAAAAGTATAACTGCTCAAGCTGTAATGACTGCTATGAAGTCTATTTTTGCAACACATTGAATACCAGAGAAGCTCATCACTGATGGGGGACCACCATACAACTCGGAAGCACTGCAGAAATTTCTTGAAGAATGGGGTGTTATGCATAACATCACATCACCACATTTTCCTAGAGCAAATGGGCAAACTGAAAGATCTATCCAAACTCTCAAGAAGTCTCTGAGCAAAGCTGCAGAAGAAGGAAAAGACTTGTATATTGTTTTGCTAGATTATAGAATTCAACCTGCAAAAGATTTGCCATCCCCGGCTGAATTATTAATGGGAAGAAGACTGAGATCTTTTCTGCCATGACATCCAGCTTCCAAAACTTCATGAAAATGATAAAGTGTGGTTTAAATGGAAAATTAAAGAGCCTTGGAAACAGGGTATGATCATGAAGACAGGTCCTCAACCAAGATCGTAGTCATAAAAGCGAATGATGGAACTGTGTACAGGAGAAATCAACATCAGATTCGTAAAGACAAGTCTACGTCTGAAATGACAGAGTGGAACAGAACAGCAGAAGATTTGTTTGGACTTGATCAATCAACACTGGATCAACCTGTTCTTGTAGATAATGATAGGCAGGATCCACCTAAGGAACAGAAAAGTGATTCTACTAAACATTCTCAAATTCCAGGAAATGTGTCAACTGAATCAAGTAGAAATAGAATAAACCTCTTCAATATAGAGACAATTAGGAATAACTTTAATAGAAAAATTCTACTTTATTTATAGACTAATTATGGAATTTAATGAACTGTTCAGAACTCTAAAATATCAGTTTAATTAGTAAGTCACAATTTTTAAAGATTTAAGTGAGTCATCAGGTATGTAATTTTGCTATGTTCTCTAAAGTCAACTGTTAAGTAAGAATTTAAGGTCAAAAATGTTTTCTTAAGTTAACTGCCAACCATGTAGCATCAATGTCTCTCTTATGTATAAAGTAATCTAATTTAATCTTATAAATAAACAGTAATTTATCTATGTTTGACGAGTCAACATATATAACAAAAAACAAAGATACAGTTGTTGGTCTGGCCCTAGTTTTTCAATGATCCCACTCTGGGAACACCTGATATTCCCTGTTTGGTTTCAAGGTGAAAGTTTAAAACTAGTATAGAATAAGGAGATTGGCATACAGCCAAGTAACGGTCTTTGAAAACTAAACATGCCTAACTGGTTTGTATTGTGCTGCCATCTAGTATAAATAGAGGAGATTCAGAGTAACCTATACTAACCTATACATCTTTTTTCATTCAATTTTCTGCACGTACAGAAGGAATCTTTTAGGTGGGCCCAGACCGGGCACACTGTGCCACAAAGGGTTAAACAGAGATTTGACTGTTGTGATAAACATGATTGCTTAAACTGTTTTCCTAAATTTCTCTATACTTAACTAATTAGCCTAGAAGCTTACATTCATAATACTGATGAAGGGAAATAATTCCTGAAAAGTTTTTCATCAGATTAAAGTAGAATATTGTTAACATATGTACATAATTAAACAACAAGCAAAGAATGCATCAAAATAAATACTGCAGTAACAATATAGAACACATACTTTCATACAATATGTTATGGCTACTTTTTTACTTTCAGTTGGCAGTTTTCTTCCATCTACTAGAGAGGCAGGAGAGACACCCAGAAATTTTACTGATTCAACACGGGCAGCTTTTTTACCCTCATATTTTTTATAAATCCAAATATCTGTTTTTGTTGAATGCACACTGAAAGTAAATATTATTATAAAAAATATTTAATATAAATATATAAATACATGATAAATGAGAGTTTTTAATTTGCATTTATATAAAAAAATTTCTGTTTCTTATCTAAAACATTAAACACTTCTTTACTTTAAATACAAAACACAGCAACAACAAAAAAGAATGGAAAATAGCTCTTTATACACTGCTCATTAATCACACATAAAAGACCACTATAAATTTAACTATTAAAAACATTAAATACAGAAAAAAAAAATAGGAGACAAAAAGGAAAGTTAATCTTTCATATATTGATCATCACTTACATATGAAAGACGGCAACAGGTTTAAAAACATAAACAAATTAGAACAGATAATTTACGAAATAGTGTATAACAATACTTCCCAAACTCTACTTTGTGATGCATTGCAATTTTTATAGCACTAAAAGTATTCCAGCACTTTCGTAGAAACAAACAGTTGATAAGTTGGTTCTATGATAAAAAGAACATTAAAACACCATACAAATCACTACTTTTGAAATGCACCTAACTTAGCTTGAAAATTACTTTCAAGGAGAAAACATTCATAAGCTTGTGTGGATTTGAGGACATGAGTTAAATTTTTATTTCAATTCATTTCTGCAAAACGAAATCCTGTAGAGTTAATATGAAACAATACACTAAAGAAAAAATTCAACAGCAAAAAACTTAATGACTTGTGATTATCATTCAAAAATGAAATAACATCACTTTGTGCAAAACTGAGTTTTTAGCATTCTCTGTGACCAAAAGCAATTATCGAAACAAAAATCAATGCAAAACAGCAAATTAAGTGGGAGTGTCTAATTCTAAAATTTTACATGTTTCTGAAATTGAAATATGTGTTCTCATTATTTTTTAATTTAATAAACGTAACTGTATCAACAACACACTATTAGATAGGCCTATGTTCTGACTTGAGGCCCCATGAAAAATTTCTGAAACACCAGACCTGCAGTGAATAAGGCATCAAATTAAAGTCAGTTTCATTCATCATTAAAAAACTTAATTTATTAACTCTAGCTCTCTAAAGACAGTCAGGGGATTTATCGCCTCATCTTAATTTCTATCAGAGGAAGATTTAAAAAACTTTTTTATTGGTTCATCAACCTAAGAATTTACACAGCTTGTGTAAAAACAAAAACAATCAATGCAACTTGCAGGAATAACAGAAACAAAAGCTTAAATTAAAATGCAAGCATACTAACAGCCAAAAGTACAGGAAAAAGTGTACTTTTGAGGTTTGATGGTTCACAAAACTATTTCGTTTTGAAGTAATATAGATAATTTAATAAGAATACACTGCATTTGAGTTTATTCAATTACCTGTATTCTATTAAATTTAAAGTTAAATAACCAGGAAAAAAAAAAAAAAAAGCACAACTTGCTTAGGTTTATATAAAATAGATTCCTTTCATTTCAGAGTAACCAATGAGCATAAAAATTTATACAGCCAAAATGGGTATAATCTTATTTTAACAGTGAGTCTTCAAGTCATAATATTCAGTTAATGATGTCATGCACTGAAGCTTAGAGAAAGGCATGTGTTAGTATGTAATGAAATTTCTAAAATGTTTTTCCCCTCCCAATGTGTGTGTTTTTTAATTTATTGAGTTTTTAAAACATAATAAAATCAATGTAAATTACAAATATTATTAAGTAAATAAGGTTACAGTTAAAAAGAAGTCAGAAGAGAAATTGGTAGAAAGTTTAAAAAAAGTGGCATTTCTAAATTTTTGAAGAAGTGTAAGAACAGTCAGCTACTACAAAGCCAGAATGGTAAAAGTAGAAAAAGATGCACACCATAAAGTGATGAAGGAAGAATTAAGAGATTGCGCCTATGCGATAGAAGAAATTCAACTAGGTGTGTACAAGAAATGCCGCAATTCAATGCAAGCTCCTGCAGACAGCAGGAATTTCATGTAAATGGTAAAGTTTGACAACGAAAGCCATTAAAGGATGAGAAGATCAAACTGCACTAAAACATATTTGAACCGACCAGACGAAAAATGGTGTAAAGTATATAAAACAAAGAATTAGAGAAGACTTACATTAAAACGTGTTAGTGTCATGATCTCGGGTTGCATGACATCAAATGATGTGAGCAGAATGTGTGCAATTAATGAGAATATAAATGCCCAAAAATATGAAAAAGAAGTACTTGAGTCCAAACTGGGCACAGCATTAGCAATGTCCTCTCGTGTTGCAAACCGCCTACCACGTATTGGTTACTTAATCTTGGGAATGAGATCAAAGTCGCAGGTTGAAAGGTCAGGAGAGTACGGTGGGTGCTCCAATTCTTCCCATCTCCAACGTCGGAGTAGCCGCAACACTCTGCTTTATGTGGTCATGCATTGTCGTTCAGAATAATTGCACTGTCCACAAGATCCGGACACTTATCCCGAACGCCACGTCGTACCTGTCGCAACAGGAAGTCCCTGTAGCACTGTGCGATCACTGATCTGCCATTAGGAACAAAGTCGCAAACAATGATACCCCTCGCGCCATACGCGACGATCACCACCAATTTGACTGAGGAAGGATTCTGACGCTAGCTCATTATGCAATATCCTGTGGACGGCATTTCTCGATGCCACTTGACCTCTCTAACTTCAGTAATGTCCATCATCTGTCTTCATCCATGAGGTGCTCGATGACGGCACGTGCCAAGTCGGTCCGCACACTCACCAGTGGTTCCGAACATTACTTATTACTGGTTGACACATGTCCTTGCTAAAACTTTCCTACCCACCATGCTACTGTACGATATGGTAGGGCATTATTCCCAAGGGCTTCTACTAATTCATTGTGACATTCCATCGCATTTCCCAGAGAACGGCTATTTTGATGTAAGTGCGCTGTTCAACACGGGTTACTTCCATCTTGCATGGTACTCACCAACTGACTGATTTCAGAGCCCTTGCTACCACAGAGCCATCTGTTGTTCTGCATACACACTATGCCTGCAGAACTTCCACACGAAACATATACGTTTTTTTCGATCTATTCCCATATCTACAAGACAAAAATAGTTGCCATGACTTTTGCCCCAACCTCGTAATAAAAGTAGCATGTAGCTTAAAAGAGTGTGTCTTGTGAAATAATTACCCACTAAAGGATACACGACAGCCGGCAATGATGGATGTGTGATTTAAAAAAAAAATGTGCATATTGCAGTCCTAACAAGGAATTAGGGGATTCCCTGAAGATGGCTCAAGGTAAAGCTTTTATAATCATTTTTTTCTTTTGGAAGATCATGGAGCAGCTAGTAAGAGTTAATAGCGCAGAATAGAGCTCTAATGGAGAGACTTCAGTTATTACTCCACAGATGGACAATTCGAAACTTTTGGTTCAGTTTGAAAAATACAACGAACACGAAGAACAGTTTGATTCATTTCTAGAGAGATTCAAAAGTTATTTAGATATACAAAATGTTCCATAGGACAAGCATGGGAAAGTAGTGATTTGCAGTTTGTCCGGAAAAATGCATAGTTTCTTAAAAAAAAACTTGCTGGCACCTGATAATCCTTCCGATACAGATTATAAAGTGTTAAAAACAACATTGAGAAATCATTTAAATACTAAGCCACTTATAATTCCTAGCAGACGTGTTTTTAAATCGAAAGCAGCTCAAGGGGGAAACAATTAGTGTGTATATGGCAGAGTTAAGGTCACTTGCCATACCGTGTGCTTACAATCAGAACATGTTAAATAGGATGTTGCAGGATGTATTTGTTAGTGGGCTTAGATAGGGCTATTCTGGATAGAATTTTTGAGCAGTATAATATCAGTTTAAATGATACTTTAAAAATATCAATTTAGCAATGGAAAAAGCTCTAAAAGGTGCAAATGAAATAATTGAGAAACCAGTAAAATTAAGGAATTCAGTGCCAGGAATGAATGTAAATCTAAGTCAGTCGCTCCAAAACAAAAGTTTGAAACAAAACTTTGCAGCTAAGAGTGCTAAAGGCAAATTGTGTTCGCAATGTGCGGGGACTGACCATGATAGAAATTCTTGTAAATTTAAGACAAGTATCTGCAGATTTTATAAGAAAATTGGGCACATTGAAAGGGCATGCTACAATGCTAAAAACGCTGAAAAAATGAAAGTGAAACAAAAGCAGTTAGATGTAGGAAATGAAAACACAGTTCCTATAAACAGCATACATTCCAGTGAGGTGAAAAATAGGAAACTGCCTGCCCATAATGGTCCAAGTGAACATAGAAGGAAAACCTGTACCTATGGAATTGGATACAGAGGGTGCAGTATCCGTAATGAGTTTACAAAATTTCCGGAAAATTTTGAGAAAGAAAATTAAAAATACAAGTCTGGTATTTAAAACATATAATGGAAAAAAACTGATAATTTTAGGATTTACTACAGTTAAGGTAGAATATAAAGGTCAAAATAAAAACTTAAATCTTTACATTGTTAAAGAAAACTTTGATACAATATTTGGTAGAGAATGGCTTTCAGAAATAAATTTAGATTGGACCTCTTCTGTCTCTCAAAACAGTAGTTTAAATAAATTATTGGAACAATATAAGGATATTTTTGACAGAAAAATAGGAGAGATAAAAAATTATGAGGTTCAACTTGAAATGAAACCAAATGTTTCACCAAAATTTTGTAGAGCTAGGTAAGTACCGTTTGCGTTAAAGGGCCAGATGGATGAAGAAATTGATCGCTTAAAAAAAGAGGGTATAATTGAAAAGGTTGAAACTTCAGAATAGGCAACTCCGATAGTACCAGTAGTTAAGCTGGACGGCTTTATACAACTTTGTGCCAACTACTCAGTGACAGTAAACAAAAATATTTGTTACGCATCAACACCCTTTGCTGACCATAGAGGAAATATTTTCATGTTTGATCGGGGAAAAGCATTTTTCAAAAATTGATTTTAAACATGCTTATTTACAAATGAAAGTACACCCTGAGACTCAAAAATTGCTAACAATAAACACACAGAGGGATTATAT